TGTCAACTTTTGCCAGCTTCCTTGAAAACTACCGATGAAAGCGTTTCCAACCCTGGGGCACAATGTCGCACTAGCGGTCTTTCTCTGTCTTGAAACTAGGAAGTGTGAAAATAATATCGTATCTTCTATTATAGCACGTGTGAAAATAATTCCGTATCTTCTATTGTAGCATATCTTCACGAAACAAACAGCATGAGCACTTCATAAATACATTCCAATCTTTCTCATATATACACACATATAGATACATATCATGCATACATATGTTTGTACATCTGTTTCCAATATTCTTGATTTAAGGCATGATTTTCGTCTATCCCAAGCTCTTTCAGTTCAGCTCTGATTCTGTCCATTCACCTCAGCTTTGGCCTACCCAGTGGTCTTTTTCCAGCGACCTCCAGAGACAATACCACTCTTTTGATGCGGTCTCATCTCTTCTACTCACATGTCCTTACCATCGTAGTCGTTTTCCTGCATCTTCTTAACGATTGGAACAAATTTCATCCTAGCACGAACTGTGCCATTACAGACATGATTTAGTGATACCCAATGTCCACCGCAGCATTCTTGTCTCCATGACACTAAGCTTGTGTACTTCATTTCGCGTACTGGGCCAACATTCGCAGCCATATAGCGCTGTGGGACGGATCACAGTACGGTATATTTGGGATTTGAGTTGCACTGGCATTCGCTTGTGGCATAGAACTCCTGTGAAGGTTCCCATTTCATTCAGGATACGTTTGTCCTGGCAGATATTTCATATTAAAGATCTCCTTCGCCAGAGATGCAAATTCCTAGGTACCCGAAGGTACTCGTTCTTGATTGGCTTTTCATTGATGTATATGGTTTCTGAAGTTTGAAAGCCGTACGACTCTAATTGGTCCTTCCATCACTGTGCTTCTTCTTCGAGTTCTTTTTTATTTTCTGCTATCACCACATTGTCTGCATACAGGAGAGCCCATGGAGGTTGTCGCTAGAGACCTTCCGTCACTGCGTCCATGCCTGTGATGAAGAATAGAGGAGAGAGCACCAATTCGTGATGCATGCCGGTCTTTATGCTGTAGTTATGACTGCTCTGCAGCAGCTTGCACATGGCTTGTGCTTCCGTGATAGGACATTTTTAGCCACTGGATGTATACTTTTGGAATCATTTGCTTCCGCAGTGCCCACCATATGACATTATGGGGTACCTTGTCGAAAGCTTTCTCCATATCAAAAAAAGCTGCATGTGACTCTCTTCGTTTTTCTCTATACTTCTCCATCACTATCCATACAGTAAGGATGGCGTCAACCGTACCTGCACCCTTTACAAATCCACACTGATTGTTAGGCAACTCTATAATCGCTCGAAGTCGTGTTTCAAGTACTCTTCCGAAGATGTGTGGCTCATCAGCCGGATTGGTATTGAGCAATCTGCGATATCGCCTTTGTTTTTCCATATCGAAATCGTTGTGCTCTTTGACCAGCCATTGGGCATGCTCTTAGCTTTGATGATCTGATTGAAGAGGCCTGCAAGCTATAGGCACCGAGCCATCCGTACTCTTTCCAGAATTCGCTTGGTATGCCATCTGGATCAGAAGCCTTGCCGTTCTTTGTCCTTGCTATAGCAAGCCATACTTCATCAGCTGTTATGAGTGGCACTGGTCCGTTACAGGGTCAGCTGGTGAGCTGGCGTGCCAGGTCTGGTGAACGACATTTCTTCGAAGCACGCTCGCCATCTCTCAGTTATTTGATGTGGTCTTTTAACGTTTTTCCAAACTTATCTTTCACATGGTAAAAGCGTTCATATCTTTTGCTGACTCTGCCCTCCCTCGCGCTATTCGGTATACTCGCTCTCCATCGCGAGATTCCAATTTCTTTTGCAGCTCTTCTACATATGACTTCTTCGCTTTCTTGACACATGTTTTGGCAGCGTGTTTCGTTTCTAGGTACAAATGTCGATTGCTTTCCGATTTCGATTTATGACATTGCTTGTATGTCTGACTCCTTTCCTTAATCAGACTTCCCGTTAAGACCTCGTTGTTCCACCACCAAGTTTCTTTATCAATTCTTCTTCTTACTGGCTTCGTGTGACCCAGTAAACTCCTTGCCGATGCACATTGCGCTTCAAGATTAACCATAACTGTTCTGCTTTCTCACATAAGGCCGGTAGAGTATTTACCAGGGCTTCTTTAGCCAGAAAGTTCCCTTTCAATTTCCACTACTTGATTCGTGCTTTGTTGTTAGTCATGGGTTTTCTTTGTCGTTCAACCGGAATTTTTAGGTCTAGAAGTAGTGGCTTATGCTGAGGTATGCAGCTTTCACATGGGTACTTTACAATCCTTTATGTTCTTTAGGTTATTGTAACGCACTACCCAGTAGTCAATTTGTGTCCGACAGTCTCCACTTGAATACGTAATTAGGTGTTCATGTTTTTGATGTAGTACGTGTTTAATGCATGTACGCTGTGGCGGACTCTAAAATGCGTTCGTCTTCTGCATTGCATGCCGTATCCGTGGTTCCCGTGACACTTTTCCGCACCATTTCTTTCCTCCCAACAACCATTTAGGTCTGCCCCGAGCAGGAACATCTCATCCTGTGGTATAGATGTGATGTAATCGTCAAGCTCCGCCAGAACATAATTCTTTCTTCCTCCTTGCATCCGGTTTGTGGAGCTTAGGCTGTGACAATTCGGAAGATTTTCCTACCAGTATCACTTCATGCTCATAAGTCAATCACTTAATCGGTCAACTGCAGCAATACTGCTTCATAGGCTTTTCGAGACAGCTACACCTACTTCATTGCTCATGTAGAGGAGATTATAGCCATCTTCAATATTGCGTGATTTTCCACCCTTCCATTTTTTTCCTGTATACAGACAATATCCACTCGGCGTCTTCTCAGGAGATCCGCCAATTTTCGGTGCCGCCCAGTGAGGATTCATTGATGGTAACTAATCGAGTGCTTCTGAGTTTTTGAATATTTGCCTGTGTAGAGCTAGCATTTCTACTCGTCTCCGCTCTTTGTAAGACGGTGACCCTAGCCCACTATACGCACCCGTCGGGCTCGAGTGCACGTCGCTTCCCGGGGACGCCCTGGCTACTCGATATACTTTTTTGGACATTTGAAACTCATTTTTTGATGCGACGAGGTGTTTCTCAGCCGCCTTGTCGCACACCCTGAAGGTAGGCTGGAAATGCAGGCAAGAATTATTTCCCAATGAGGAATGAAACCTGTGACCACATCAAAATGAGACCTTGGAAACGAAGGGCACTAACCGCTCGACTAATCTGCCTATACATATACATACACATACATATACATACATGGACATATACATATACATACGTATGCATTTACATACACATACATATACATACATATACATACATATGCATACACATATACATACACATACACATATACATATACACATACGTACATACCATGCACATATACATACATATACATACAATACATATACGTGTACATGCAATATACATACATATACATATACATATACATATACATATACATATCCATATACATATACATATACATAACATATACATATACATATACATATACATACACATATACACATACATGTATATATACATATACATATACATATAAATATACATATATATACATATATATATATACATATACATACACACA